GTATATATCAGTGTACATAGCTTAGTCTTCCCTTATTGTTATTCCAATGTTCACTAACCATGAAGGCTCTACTATCAACTAAACCGAAATACTGTGCTGATCATTCCGAACTTAAACTCTTATATAGGGTGATGTATGCAGATTCAGGCTTCAGCTAGAGACATCATTTTGATTGGCTAGGTAGCGTATGCACGTCTGTAAAAGCTTAAAGGAGTCGTTTTTTCCGCCAAAATCTATTGCGGACGTAATATTTCCAAGTGTGCTGTGCAGCAAAGTAAATTTCAGCGGACTGATTTTGGCTTATGTGGACTTCATTTGGCAAGTAATTATGAGGCCAAAATCAGTCCGCCGGACCGATTTTTGCCCCGGACCAAATTTTTCCTGACAGGCCTACTACACTTATTTCATAAATCTCCATTTTATTTAAGCATTAATAAATTAATAAAGTCGACTTAAGTAACCTTCGTTGTTTCTATAAATAAAGAAAACTAACAAGTGATACTGCAGTGCTGTATAATAATAAACTTTCCTACCAAATACTAATTTAGTTATAGTTTCGTGTTTAACAAACGATATACTGTCTAACATGTAGACTCGCGGTCGCATATTCGGCGATCCATACACCACCGCGACCCAAATGCGAACAAAAATAAAATACTATAAAATAAACCAACAATTACAATACGTACGTGCTGTACCTTATTACCAGCTTTATTGAAAATAAATACAATGTTTAAACATTTAGGCCTATCATAACATTGTTTAACGAGCTCTTTTGGGTACGTGTTGGCCAAAGATGTGTACGGGCCGACTAAAATTTGTGTACGGGTGTCCCTATCTAGTATGGAAACATCATCGTTAAAATCTATCACGTCTTGTACATCTCGAACAAGTAAACAAGGTTAGCATACAAAAAAAGAGTAATGCAACAAGCTTATTATTATAAATCCCACCGCTGCCACCAATGTAACGTTCTTAACCTATCCCTCCGAGCCTTGATCGATGTGGGCAAGACAAATTACGGTGTTAATATTCCGTTGACTTCCAATAACCTATTAAATCGTAGAGCAAAGAAACAGAAAAAAAATATCAGTTTCTTTGCTCTATGATTAAACCATGGAGAAAATAAAATTTTATTTTATTTTCTCCATGATTAAACATACTTAGATACTTATCTGGCGGTGCATAGCCCATCAACTACACATTTCCACCTCACACAGTATGGTAAATTCCTTCCAACTCTGACTATCTGTATCCAGCACGCTTCACTTCTTTTTCAAGATCTCTCCTTCACGTATTCCTTGGTTTTTCTCTTTATTTTTCCTTGGGGATTCCATGACCATGTAAGCGCTTGACAAGTGATGTTGTTGCGTAGTATATGGCCAATCCATCCCCATTCTCGTCTACAGATTTTAATTTCCACTGGCTCTATAAACCCGTATTTTCCCAGAGATCTTCGTTCTGTATTTTCTCAGGCCACCATAATATGCTAAGAACCTTTAGAGACACCTGTTAATAAAAAACTGTATTTTCTGTGTTATATGCATTTAATTCTTCACCACGTTTCAGATCCATATAAGAGTAGGCCTACTGCTGTAACATTATGCTAAAACTAGAAATTGCAAATTGCAAGTGAAGTGCTGCGAAGTACAACTGCATATAAATGTTCTTCGAACAAAATTATCTGCCCATCTCTTAATCTGGTCATCCTTTTCTTGTATAACAGTGGCTTCTTTATCTTTTACTGGTCGTTGGGGTTGTTTGTATTTTCCTGTAAGCTTCTTGGTGATGCCATGCAATTTAGTCGTGTTATTTTTGGATGCTGCTTCTTGCACCTGTGTGGCTAGATCTATTATTAACTACTTCTTATCATTCTTTATGTTTCTCCTCACCTCTTTATGCACTGTGGTATATTCTCTATAAGCAATCTTTTTTCTCCCTTGTCCTACTGTTACTGATACTGTTATTTATTTTTCAAGGTTTCACTGGTCATCCAGGGTTTGTGTTGTGTTTTTTTTCTTCCCAATGTTACCTCACAGCTACTTATCCATTTATCTTTCAGTTCTTCCCCGTTTGTATCAATAATATTAGGTTCATCCTCTTGTGGTCTTATAGTGCTTGATATCATTACTCATTTCCAACTGGAAAGATGCTGTTACTTCCTTATCTTTAAGTAGCTTTGTGTTGTATTTTACTCTGTTGCATGATTTACTTGACCTGTGTTTCATGAGTTATAGCTGCAGTTTTCCAATCAATAAGCTATTAAAGAGATGAATTAAAGACAAGAATCACAAACAACGTAAAATTCTCTATCCAGAGAGCCAACAGACTAATTTATTATACTCACATAATATATCGGAGATAACTTGTAGTTGTACCGTACAATTCAATACTGTATTCATAATTTAGAAGTAGGCCTATCTATTTCTTGGAAGTCCAGATACCAAGTGCATCTTTTTTTTTTCTCTCTGGAATGTCCCCCAAAAACATCTCATGCATCACATTAACCAATAAGGTGAAACTTCTTCGGGTAGTCAAGTTTATTATGATAGGAGGTACTAAAACATGGGTGAACCCATTTTCGTTACAATATAAAATTTAAATTTAAGTTATTTTAAAAAAGAAATAAAATGTATATAAAGTACATTTTTCTGTTAATGCTGCATAAAATTTAATAGGAAGGCTTCAGTAAAAAATAACGTCCCCACACTGCGCATTGAAGCTATGAGTAGCTTCACAAACGACACAGGATTCATCCTAAACCTGTGCATTACAATGGCCTGTCCCTAAGCCAAGGCAGAGCGATGCACATGCGTCTACATAACAAACGAGCACAAAATTGTTATTTTCTAAAAAGGGATATTAAATGACTGAGTATGCCAAATCATTCCTCAAATTATATAAAATTTAATGAATGAGATGCGAGTAAGACAGAGTTCCATCAACCGGAGAGCATCCCCCACCCCTACGCACCCTAAGGTATGCCACTGCTTCTTGTATCCATTAGAAACACATAACAAATTGGTCATAAACATAACCCATAAAAAATATAAAATAGTGTACATTACATAAAATGAGGGAGGTCATGAGTCAATGAATCGACTTTTACTTGGTCATCATCTTCAGGAATGAGAAAACATTTGAAAATGATTACAAAAAATATGCTACAGAATGCAAATGAGGGGATACAATACAATGTTTGTATAAAGTCTATTTTTATTCCAAATTTCAAAGTTAAGTGTTACTCACTTTTCAGTGACGTTTCACCAGTATCCTAGTGGTTTCATCAAACTGGCAACTCTCCCTTTTTCTTTTTTCCTTTTTTTTTTTTCATTATTTATACAAACAACATAAGTAAACATATACATAAATAATTCTTAGTTACCTTTTATTATTTTTATATATTAGTTTCCATTTCCTTGCGTTTACATAATGAAATCATTGAACTTGCATATAAATAATGACCGATTTCCTTCCTATATAGGATCTGTACTTTTATATAATGAAAAGTATGTAAACTCATAAAAATAAATAACCTCATAGATTGAAGATGATCAAACTAGTGCTTTAGACATGATGTGTAATCCTATACTATTAATCCTGTTATTACAGTATTCTATTAGATGACTTATTTTGAAAACGATTAATGCCAGAGTCCTCTATGTAACATCTCCATCAAGTGGAATCACCAAGAGAGTAAGGAACACATTTTTTTAGCCTCTCCTACATTTTTTTTTCTTTTGCCTTTTTCGTTTGTTTTTTTAGGCTAGGAAAGTCAAATGGCAGTTTCATTTGTACACCTGTGACTTATGAGCCTGCCAACTACTACTTGCAAGTAGTATTTAAATTGCAGGAGAATGGTGCAGCGGTCATTCTGGTTCCTCTGCTTGTGTTGTTCTTTTTGGTTTTTTGGTTAGCTTTAGGATAGATCTTGGTTTAGTTTTTCCCTTTTTTCCTTTTGGTTCACTCAGCGCATAGAGACCTCAGTATTAAGCATTATATAAATTTAACTACATACATGGTTTGACATTTCAAAGGGATTTGTTACAGCAAACTCTTCTTATTCTTAATACTGTAATGCCATCATTTCATATGTATATCATCATAGTGAAGGTTTCTTCAGAAAATTAAAATGGTCACACGGAGGCTCCACTAAAAATTATGTCATTTTTAATCATGATCACAGGACCAATTGACAAAGGAAACCAATTAACAAAGTGAATTAACGGCCATATATGGTCATTCTCTGCTTATCAACAGTGTAACTGGATTGTTGTTTCTCAACAGTGCAACAGCATCTTCATGAGTGATGTTTTCAAAGTTTACCTGGTTTACCTGAATAATTTTATCACCTGGTTGAAGATGCCCATCTGCCGCTCCACCTGGTTGAACTTTGGTTACAAATATACCCTGTAAAATAAATCAGCATCAAATTATTTATCTTGCGGGATGTTAAATTAAAAGATTCAGATTTTAAAACAACTTTATTTAAAGTATAAAAAACAGATATATTACAAACACAAGCATTATGTTATTAACGATAACAAATCCTCAGCACAGTTGAGAAACTAAAGTACTGTATGCAAATACCGATCGCAATTAATGTATATAAATAATTCTAAAAATCAACAAAAATTCCTACCTGGTCCCCATGTTTGAATGGATTTCCAGGCGAGTTTAGACCACCCGTAATACTGAAGCCTAAACCTGGTTTTTTATGAATGATGACAGTTAGCTGTATTAGAAAAAAATAAAATTACATTAGTACTGCATTAGTTTTAGAGAACAAAAAGAAGAGAAAACATTCAGGCATGTATTATTGGCGATCCGCTTCACAGAACAGATCACCTCTTGTTATTGTCAGATCTACATTTCTCCTCATTTCTTGTTCGCACAATATCTCAAAATTGCCGCAAGCTACGCACATGGTAGCTCCAAGGAACAGTTGGCTTAGCCTGGAATAGTCACAATAAGCTTTTCAATGTGACCAGTCATGCGTGACATCATCTACGCGCAATTTTGCGTTTTTACATTATCGATCATATCATCCTAACCAATTGCTTTTTCGAATTAAGATACATCAAATTTGAACAAAAATAAATTCTTAAAATTGGAAAAAAAAAAATTGAATATCTATAGGCAATCCGAACCCACGACCTTATGTTCTTTAGAACATATGCTTAACCGACCACGCCATTCATGCGACGAGCATTATTAGTGGTAATTATTTTTCACTTTGATGACATCATCATGGTAGAAATGAATGTTGTTCTGACCTCCCCCCCCCAACCTCTTTCTTTCTTTAATTCTTTGATGACCTTAGAGAGGGCAGCAGACTTGATATTGAACTGCACAGTTTGACAATGCTGGCTACGGTATTTTTCCATAAATCATACTTCTAAGCGCCGGGAGATATCTTTTGCCTGACAAGCGGATCACCTAACTCGCCCTCAGTGACGAGTTCAAACCTAGTTATTATGTCAAATTGTAAACCTTTGTAAGGAAATACTTTAGTAATATTTATTAATTTCGTTTTTTATTGTATTTATTTGCTCAAATTATTGGTTATAATTCTTGATTGTCATATCGATTTAAAATTTTTCATTTTTTTTTGGTCTTGTTTTCTTATGTTTAAACTTTTCAACTGTCTTTTTTTTAAATTTTTATAATGAATATTAAAAACTCATATTAAATAATATGCAACTTGGCATTTGGCCATTTATAATAAATAAAGTGATATAATATCTTTATATTTATATAGCACTCAACACAAATAAGTCTCAGAGTGCTGTCTCACATTATTACACCTGTCATTGCCTATCTATCTAATAAAGCTTGTCCGCCATTGATAGGACCTGCGAATGCGCCCACTACAAACTCATTCTATAGTTCTGTCATTGCCTGCAGAAAATAAACTTGCTGGCCAGAAATGCCCTTTCTGACCTTCGACCTATGATTTCAGACATGCCTCTGTATACTAGGAAGCTTTCAATTTGTACGACGATGTGATGCTTGAATGGATTAACACACGACCGTCCTATGTTCTCTGCACAGTGTACACTCAGCCAGATTGCGTCCTAGAATCCACACAATCCATGCGCAGACTTTATGTAATTTCATTACATTCTACGACTACTGTTGTCGTGCAATCAAAAGCTCTCTATTGATCTCAAATTATCAAGTAGATACATGTTTCTATATATTTTATAGACTATCTGTCCAAAAAAAATTGGAAATACCATTGCTGAACCCATTTCAAGGCATTTTTCGTACGTACACTTTATACTGTATTAATTGGTTTTGATGACAGCGTTTATATATTTGCATTCATTGGCTTTAATTATGTCAAAATGTTTATTTGGTCTTAAATTAAATATTTGGCCTGAAAATGACCAGAAATGTGTGTAATGACCTTTGACCAGAACACATAGCATTTTTATATCTCCGTAACTAAAAGATTTTTTTTTTAATTGTTTAATTGATAGATGTTTCTTTTAACTATACTGTATAATGAATTGCTGCTACTGACCTTGACAAACGCCACAAGATTTTTTCTGTTAGCCGTATATCTGTTATACTGGTCATGTGGCCAAGGGGCTTTTATGCCCTTAATGCCTTAATTACATTAATTACTGGTTATAGATGTTTGCTTTTGGCAGGGAGTTCTTTTGGATAAAAATGTGTCTAGATTATTACATTCTATAATACATATACATATATATAGTTACTGTACTATTCTGTTAATATTCTGTTAAGCTAACAATAAGCAGGTCTGAGAAACATTATTGATGCCTTTATGTATCTTAATAAATGGAATAATAATTGTTATCTTTGAACTTGCTAAATTAATTTTAAATTTTACAAATATACATAATTCTTGATTTTATGATGGTTACCAAGCTTGGGTGAGCACTTCGTATCACTATCTTGATATTATTTGTTTATTGCTTTAATTAAGTAATTTTGTTTTGTTAGTTAAATAATTTTGTGAACCCTCAAACATCTAAAATGACTCTCTTTTTTAATATATATAAATTATATATATACTGTATATACAGTACATATATATATATATATATATATACTGTATATATATATACTGGATATACAGTATATATATAATTTATATATATACTGTATATTGGATATATAGTATATATATAAATTATATATATACTGTATATCCAATACGACGTCAGCAAAAATTACCCCCTCAAAAATTGGATTCTACATGACAAGTGGTTTCCAAAAATACCAAAATCTTGTTTTGAACATATGGTCATACACTATATAAGCCCTATGTTACCTGGTGGCCAGCAGCTTTGAGATTTTGTTCATCTCTTTGCTTTGCCTCATGTGAACTGTCATTCATTCTTCTAATTAAATGTGGTGAACTTGAGCTGGTATTTATTCTCTTGACTAGATGTGGAGAAATAGTGCTACCATTCACCTTCCTGGTTAAATATGGTGAACTGCCATCCATATGACTTGTAGAATGCACTGAATATGTGCTACCATCTGTATGCCTGGACAAGTGCAGAGACTGAGAGCTACCACCCCATTGCATTGCAGAATGTGGGGAGTGGAAACTTGCTTCCATCTGCCTGGTGGAATGTGGGGAGTGGGACTTATCTTCCACTTTCTTTTGTACATCAGTTTTTCTGACTGTTTGGGGGAAAACAATTTAAACAATTAATACAACAAAACATCAATAAATTATTAGCCCTGATGCTAACCAAAAAGACAAAGGAAATGGAGAATACAAAGTCTGATAAAGGAAAAAACCCACAAAACACAAATTAGAGTGAGAGCCAATAGACTGGAATGGATTGGATGCACAAGAAGATAACGAACGGAAATCGAAAACTTCTGTCTAGCGGGTTTCTTCTAGTAGTAAAGGTGGGCAGTCAAGGCTGTCAGAAGGGAGTGCCCCTCCCACTTATATTATTTAAAGAATTAGAATGGAGTGTAAATATAACATAAGATTAAAATTTAAAATTTCAGGAAAATCATGATTCCGCTACTGGAAATTTCCCAAAATTTTTTTAAAAGAGAATGATAAACAAAAATTTAAGTAATTGTTCTACCGTTCAAAACTAAATCCTCTGCAACAAATTAGAGTAAATGGGCTTTGACTTAGTCGAATGGTTCAGGTCGTATTTGGATAAACAGAAGGCAGATAGTGAAACTAGGAAAAGTATCTACTCAGGAAAGTATTCCTATTTTAGTATCAAGGATAAGTCACTATCGCATTGTACGCTCAGCTGCTACCTTTGAAAAATGCACTTGTCCTGAAGACAATTTTTCTTGTCCCAATATTATTGCACAATAATCTTAAACAATAACACAAAAGTAAAGTATTTTTGCTATGGCCCTACAACATTAATAGGCCTACATGCATACTGCATTGATCACGCAAAGATGTTTTTTTCTTTCTTTCTTTAATTTACAAGAATTTCAATAATATGGAGAAATTCAAATAAAATAAACTTCGATAATATTCTATGTACGTGTTTAAAAGCCGTTGTCACAACAACTACATGTGCAAGTAAACATTTCTGAGGCATGGATGATGCCCACGATACACAAGTTCTCAGCCACACACTGACAGTACTGCGTTTTATGACGTTACTTAGAGGGGGGTGGTCATATGGTATGTCCGTTTGCAGATCAATTCTAATACTAACTTTTTAAATCTATTTTTCTTTTTTTTTCGGAGGATACAAAAAAACTAATTCAAATTGCATGGAAAAACCTCTAGAAAAATAGGTGCAAAGAATTGTAAATCAATTTTCGCCTCAATTTTCTGCAAAATATCCGTGGAAATCGGCTCATATTTTTGAAATGCGGTGATGGATTTCTGGGCCTAATATTTTACGCTGGGAATATTTTACAGCCTGACACATCCTTAATTCATTTATTGCAAAATAATAAAATTGCTTAACTCTCAACTAAAGACAAGCACTGTAGGCCTACAGTATCTTTGAGCATGGGCCGAGGGGATGAATCCGTTTTAGAGAACCTCCAAGAGGGCAAATTTTTTCCGAGACGGGAAAATGATTCATTTATAGGCCCTAAACCCTAATTTTTTTAACTCCAGTTTTGCAAGATTTGGATTTTATATGCATATTATCTCCATCACTTAGAAGTGAATGGTTTTTTAATTATTTTCAATAATTTTAAATCCAAATTTAACTACACGCGCAAACAAAATAGACTATGCCTTTTTTGAAGTCGGCCTAAAGCTGGTTTTTCACTAGGCGAATTTATTCTCGCGAATCAAAGCCTTGGTTCACTTCCTGAAGTCTTGATTGGTTGTGCATTTTTCGCTTCGCAAAAACTCCGATAGAATGTGAACCGACGCTTTCGATTCGCGGGAATAAATTCGCCTAGTGGAAAACAGGCTTAATGGCTGCTGTTTATATTCATACATGAATGTAAAGTAATTACTATGGTTGAAGTCCAGATTAACTAATGGCTGTGCGCCCAAAGTCTTTAAATAAGTCTGGTATTTATAGACTAGACCAGTGCGAATTTATATTGTAAATGATCACATGCAGCCCAGACGGCTAACAAGTTTGATATCGTGCGAAAACATGTACATGCCAGAGTTGCCATTTGGCATTTTTGACAGCCAGATTCCTCAAATCTGGTCGTATAAAAATTTGCCTGGCCGTAACGTTTGAAAAGTCACAGCCAAAATATATTTGGCCGAATTTTGTGAAAAGTTTACATTTTTTTCAATATAGGCCTAATATAAAGTAGATTTGTTTTGAATATGTTGTTTTGCACAAAAGCTTTAAAGTAATTTGGCATTAAGATTGTTGAAGCAAGTGAAATTATTTCATAAGCCAGTTGTATATACTGTATACTAGAAATTGCAAATTGCAAGTGAAGTGCTGCGAAGTACAACTGCATATAAATGTTCCTCGAACAAAATTATTTATGCGAGTCAAGTGAAAATAATGAATAATAAAAATATAACAAATAATATGAGACATGACCCATTGTCTATACAGTATTATTTAGAACACTTCTCATTGGATAAAAAAGTCGTAATTTTTCATTTTTGTCAAAAAGTGTCTATAGTGGTGAATTATGGTTCAGGTTTTTTTTAATAAAGTTTCAAAAATTTCTATGTATGTGGAAAATGTAGTTGATTACCAAAGGTTACAATTTTTATTTTAAAGATTGCATGGTCTAGGAAGTGTGCATTTTTTTATGGGGCAAGTTTCCAAGGGCGGGTTTTCTAGGGGCGAGTTGACTGCTAAAGAGTGTTGCCAAAGTGCGAGCCAGCGTGTTATTTGATCACAAGTGCGAGACATCGCAAATGTGAGCCAGCGAGCCATGACGTCACGACAATAGATACGAGACGTTACTCGAGTTGTGCGAGGTATCGACTGAGATTTGTGGAGTACAATTCAAAAAACAACTATAGGTCTAATAATGAATTATTGTGATGTTAAATAGACAATGTTAGCTATCAAGGAGCTATGTTGTTTTTCATTGGGACCTTCGTCCCTTCAAGGCTAGGCCTATACCATCCTAGCTAGTCTAGGCCTAGAGTAGGATAAGGCTAGCGCGACATGCGGACGTTGGTACGTGTTGGTTAGTCTACAAACGTCGCCTAAAGTAATTGATTTTACCCGGCAGAACGAAAGAAGGAAACTCCGCTTTTCAATCGTCTTTAGGCCCTTGTTTTTTGACAATGACCTTTCAGAGGTCAAATTGCTGTCAAGAATATGAATTGGCTGCTTCGCAGCAATGATGTGTATGTGTGTGTATATGAGATATGTTGTGGCAAAATGGCCAAGTTGTTGGTATTTTCATATACCTGAGCATGTGATCTTTAAAATAAGGGGTCATTCATTGAAATTGGACATTTCAAGCCTAAGTTATTGGAAAGTGAAAGTACAGTACTCTTAGAGTCAAGATAAACATGATTTTGAGTAATTGCCTTTCAAAGTTATTTGTGTATACATTGTTTAATAGAATGAACTATCAAAATAACATTAAATAAACAATTTGTTGACCACTTCCAGAATTAATGGCGAAATATTGAATTCCAACACGATGGCGTGTATTTCAATACTTGGATTATGTACTATACTTTCTTATAAAGACAGTTTATTGCAAGTTTGTACCATATATTGTGTTCTTTTTATTTTTATGTTCCAACCTAGTGGAGGTTTCTATCTCTTTTGGTTGAGAATTGAAAAAAATATAATAAATTGTGTAGGCGCTGCAGTGTTCTTTATGTGAAGTGCCATATAAATGCTTACTGTGATCATTCGGGTCCAATGGCACTTCCAATTTCAAGCAGGTGTTACTCTTAATTTAGGTTGTATATGAGAATCATGAAGAAGATAGTCCTCGGATAGCAACATTGATTTATTGTTTTAATACTATCTGCAACAATAACATTCAGAATTTAGAATTTAGAAAGTTTTAGATAAAAAGCATTTATTAAAGTTTTCATAGGTTTGTTTTAACACCGGTTTGTGTTACTCACTAATGTAACTTTCATTCTAATTAAAGAGAGCAACAGATTTGTCATTGAAGATTCATAACAGGCCCTTAAAATTATTGCTATAGATCAACTATATTGTACATTATTTAATACATTTAAATCAAATTTAGATCGATCATAATATTTAATATTTTGATGTTAGCTGGTGATTAATTATAAAAACAGTTTTCAGTTTTTTATCTGATATCTCTTTGTGCGCCGACTATTTCTTAATAAAATATACTGCGTATTGTCCAGAGTCGACTTTTTATAAGTACTGTGAAAGCATTACGCGTTACATGGTAAAGTAGCCTATTTAAAAGCGCTTGTCCACAGACAAGTGGTTCCTAAAATTCTTTCTGTCCGACCATAAAAAACACTTGTCCCGGGCGTCGGGCAAGTGGGTTCGCTCATGCCTGATAATTTGAAATTTGTTGAACTTGCGTACAGATATAGGAATTCTTTTGAAGAGAAGAAACTACAATCGTGGCAGTATAAAAACAAACCTACATTTGTATTTTGACGTACTATAAAACACAAATTTTTATTATAGGCTAACAAACTTTTTCTATTATCAGGCCCTATGGAAGGGCGGTTGATGGGGGGAAGGGCTAATACACAATATAAGGTGATTTGAGGTGTTTTCCAAATACTTGAGCATGATTTTTGGGGGGGGGAATTGAGGAGGGGTCTGCCACTGGTTGAAACTGAAGCACTGCGGTGTTACGTATACAATTTCGATTTTCATTCCTCAGTACTTTACTTTTTTCAGATACTCCACTTGGCCTCTTTTTGGCTACGATAGTTTAATATCGTTAGTGTTCCATATGTGTTTGATCCAATGATCAGAGTAACAATGTGAAGCACTATTATTATCATAATAACTTATTAATATTATTAATATTAATGATTTATGAATTAATAGTCTAGTCAGAGGGCTTATGGTAAATATTATATATGGTATATATATATATGGTATATATATATATATAAAACTTAGCCTGAAGGTGACGCTTTCATTTGGCGCCCATCTTGGATAGTACACATACGTAACTCAGCGTTGCTTCATCGCCTAGACAGCACTCAAGTTGTTTAATACCCTGCTTCTCAACCTTTATTTTAGGTGGCGACCCACTTTCAGAATGCAAATTCTGTGGTGACTCAAGGCATATACAGTGTGCCTTGAGTCGTATGTACAGGTGTGTTATGTGTTGATTACTTATGCCCACAAGCCATCAACCTCGGCTAAGTCGAACACAAAGTAGCAGTTAAAAATCATTTTGATTTTTATTTACTTAAAGTACACAAGACTTTTGATATTGTGCACTGAATATTCATTTTTATATGGATAGAGGGGATCTCGGAAGGACTTTCACAGATAGGTTGTCAATAAAATTTATGATTACGGTACCTCTAGATGGCCGGAAATGGCACTCTTAAGACCGAAAAATTTGAATACAATTTTTTTTCTCCATTTTTTATAATTAAAAAAAAAATAAGTGGGAGGGTGGCGACTGGGTCCCCATTGAATTCGCCACTGTGGAGAATATTTGTTATACTCATAATTTTGAAATGTTTAAAACAATAACAAATTTTTGACAAGTGTACAGTCAACTTGGGCGACGCTCACTTGGCAAATATAAATTTCTAAAAAGAAGCTTGTACGTCCACACCCACTCGTAAAACGGCTCAAACAAACTCAAAAGCAAAGAAGCAACTTATAATCATTTTTGTTTATTAACTGGTAGAGTCCTTGGAGAGATTGTTGACAGTGCAACCATGAGAGTTGATTCTAGGATTTGGGTTGACAATTATTTATAGTTTTCGTGTTCGTAGTCTACTACGCCTGGGTGTATCATTTAAGTTGAATCCTTTGTAGAAGTAATTTCCACTATGTTTCGAGATGCAATTTACCACTTTTTTTTTTTTTTAAAGTCAGATGCAATCTTGCGACCCTCAGAAATGCTTTTGCCGACCCAAATTTGGTTTGCGACCCTTATGTTGAGAAGCACTGGTTTAATAGCTCTATGGTTTCTCATAACCTTGTCAAAGTTTTAAACCAGTGGCGGACTGTAAAGAAAAGTAAGGTATGCAGTGTATACCCTGGCTAAAACAAATTTTAAAAAAATATAGTAGTACAGTTTCTCCATTTTATTTAGCATTTCTTAGTCAGGATCTTCTATATACACCCTAATATTTCTAGTGGAATGCTATTCATTGGAATAGCAAAGTTTTTCAATGTTTGGCCTACTTTGGTACCTAGGATAAGTCACAGTCGGGCCTATCACATCATACTTAGAATTTCCGCATGGCTGGTCCTCGATATCAGCCAATCACTTATTCAGTGAGTCAATGGAAGTCAGAGCATACCCTACAACGCTTAAATTTGCTATTGTGACAACCATGTGGTGGCATCAGAATAGCAAATTTAACACTGGAATGGAAGCAGTGCTTCCAAGAGTATGTGCGCATGCTCTTCTCAAACCTCCACTGCAGATCGCGGATTCTATCTATAAGCTTAATCTGAGTCAATTTGTCACAATGTGAATGAATTTATTGTTAGGTTAGTTTCACACTTGTTAAACTCAATGCAAATTAAGGTATTTCACCTGGTTATGCAAATGAGAGATTGAGAGTGCGAGTCAGAAAGAAAGGAATTAAGCAGAGTCTCGAGGCATAGTGGAGGTGACACACACCAGTTTTGTTAAGCCTACATTAAGTGAGGTTTTTATGTGCTTTTTGATGTGCTACTTGTGAAGCCTCTCCTAAAAGAGTGAGGCTTGGTATGCAATCTTTGAAGTCTATACACAGTGAGGTTTTTTTATATGTGCTACTTGTGAAGCCTCTCCTAAAAGAGCGGGGCTTGGTATGCAATCTTATGTGTGTACTGCTGAGATAGGCGAATTATTGTCCTGTTTGATTACTGTATCCTGTGTGGATCGTCTGAATATATGTCCTGTGTGGACCAGCATAATGTTGTCCTGTGTGGACCAGCGGAATAATGTATCCTGTGTGGTAATTTCTGATTACTGTTTTGTGTGGACTGTATGGTTATTTGTGCTGTGTGGACCAGCGAAATACCGTGCGGTGTGTGGACTGCCTGTTATTTGTTACTGTGCTGTGTGGACCAGCAAATTTAACTATCCTGTGTGGATTGCGCTATTGTCTTTTGTTTCTGTGTGAGCAGGAAAATGCAAGATTTAATTTCTGATCTCTGGACACTCAAAAATTTATGTAAGTAGTTTTTTATTATTGTTATTGTTATTATTATTATTGTTGTTATTGTTATTGATATTATTGTTCTTATTGTTATTGTTATTATTATTACTTGTGAACTTGTTAAACATGCTGGTGTGGAATATTAAGTAAATGGAAATGTGACCAGCAGATCTTAGTTGTTTTTATTATTCTTGTGAGTTTGGTTTTGACAAATGACCACTACGATTACTTTGGCTCGATCTGTGACACAATTAAAGTTTAAATATATTTACATACATATGACCGGTATATAAGAAACTTTGAATTATTATTATTTGAATTGAAATTTGTTAAAATACAGGAATAAGAATTCTTTTGAAGAGAAGACAACCATGCCGGTATTAAAAATAACATGCATTGTATTTTGTCTATAGAACGCAATCTGATTCTCTATAGTAGTAGGCTTACGAATTTTTCCTATCACTAGCAGGCCTCAGCATATCAGTGGCAGGTCTTGAAATGGAAGGGAGCTGATAGTGTTAGGAAGGTAATGTGGGGGATCAGTGATTATGAGGGGATAACTCGCAAAATAAGGTGATATGAGGTGATTTTTAATTACTTGAGCATGATTTGTGGGCGGGGTGCGCGACTGGGGGATGGGCAAGTATTTTTTTTTTCAGGGGTAGGTGGAGGACGTGCTGCCCCTTGTACATCCTAGATATGCCAATAACTAGCATACCCTGCAATTTACCCTACGGTCCGCCACTGTTTCAAACAACTACAAAGATTTGTTTACTGATAACAGGCTGTCTATTAATTTTGACAAGACAAAATGCGAAAGCTCTGTAAAGTTAGTAGTAGAACAGCTAATGGCCAAAAATTGGGCAAGTTGTGAATTTTATTACCAAAGCATGAAACTTGGCACAACATTGCTTTGATATTTGTAGACTAAAAAAAGGTTGTGTGTCAAGGTTCTGATGCCTGCTATGGCTGCCATTTTGAATTGACAATGGCCACCTACTAAAGAACTAGATTCATATAGTGTATATTGGCACTGAAAAGTCATAAAAACTTTTAATACTTTTGGTCTCAAATTGTTCGGAACATTCATGTTTCTATTTGCTTCAACGTAACATTTTGTCCACAAGTTACAGGAAATGACTGATTTCAGTTATGCAGGCTGTTAAAGGGACACTGTGTATAATTAGTAAGATATTTTCCAAAAAATATAACTCAAGTGCAAGGATTGCACAATAACATTGTATCGACTTCAAGGAAGAAATAATTCATCCCTGCCATTATGAAAATGTGAATAGTGCAATCAAGCTAAATTCACTAAAACAATGTGAGAAGAAACACCCAAGAAAACTCATTCTTGGTGGTGTAGTCAATAAAAAATACTGTCACAATGGTGGACCGTAGGGTAAATTGCAGGGTATGCTAGGTATTGGCATTTCTAGGATGCGTGAGGGACGCGCACACCCCACCCGAAAAAAAAAACTCGCCTATCTATCAGACGTGCCCCCACCCACAAATCACGTTCATGTATTAAAAAATCACCTCAAATCACCTTATTTTGGCGAGTTAGCCCCTCACCTAATGACTGATCCCCCACCTTCACCAGCTCCCTTCCATTTCAAGACTCCTACGCCACTGATGCTAGGGGTCATTTTTAATACGGGACAAGTTTACTAAGTCTGCAAGTGATCAAAATGTAAACATAACCATCATACTTGGTTCAACAAAACTGTAAATTTCAATTTAAAGAAAATAGTTTGTTTAAACAAGGTGTACCTGTATGTACATTACTTACCAGGTCTCGGTTCTACATAGTTCTTGCCAGGCTTATTGTTGGCAACTAGTGAACTGTCAAAATATTCCATGGACCTGACATTAAGTTGGTTTGGTCTGGGTGGGCCTCCATATCTTGCACCATCAATATACCGTCCAACATTGACATTTACAACATAGTCATTAAGCTCATGTTGCTGCGACTCTGGTGGTGAAGGGAAATCTTGCTGACTTGGAGAAGATGGCATATCAACATGAGCAAGGTTAGACCTGAAGACATTATCATCACCCTTTGTGTTATCATCTTGCTGTTTAACACATTGAAATGCAAAAAAAATTACCAATTATGAAAAGCGACAAAGAGTAACAATAGAATAGTATAGGGTAAGTATCCAAAATTACTTTTGAAAAAACATAGTGAAAGATCTGCTCTTTAGTGCCATGCAGAGCTTGTTTTATATTTCTATATGCCTGGTGTTGGTTTACCTAAAGTCTGCTAATCAATATCAGTTAAATTCTATTTACTATATTTGTTAGTATTGTATTAATTTTACAATATAAAATTCAGTGAATGCTATCTGTTGGGCTAAACTTAGCTTGGCCTAAGCATACGCCTAACCCCTAGGCTAGACTGGTATTGGTGGTAGTAGTAGTAAACACTGGAAATAGAAATAAATACTGGAAATGCTCAAGCTCAAACATAGTCTTATAGGTGGTTTACACTTCATGTGTTTTGATTGCTAACGTGTCACGACTAACAGTCGCTGTGACTGCATCACCGAGAACCAGAAGACATGGATGACCTTATTCATGAGAAATTTTTGCATATAACCCCCTTATGGCCTACATCTATATTATTCATCAAACATTACCTACACACAAAATTTCTACTAAACTTTCTACAAGTCATTTTACTACTAGTTTATGTGTTTACAAAGAAAACATGCCTCTGTGACCTTAATTTTTTTACGCCCACGATAACAAGGTTTATATTGTTTGTAACATAAACAAAAATATTAACTTGATGATTTGATCTCAATATCAAGTATACCAGCCTGAAGGCCCTTGTCATATTCCAGTATTAACTTGGCAAATTTGAATAATTATATTTAACAAATCTTACTTTGGACTAATCTTAATACACTGTACATGTAACATATATTTTTGTTGCTGAAACTTTTTCTTATAGTGAGATTTTATCTTAGCTCTCCTTTTTTTAATAGCATTCTAAGCAAGTGTGACAGCACCAATGAACGCTTTGTGGATATTAAGTGCTATATATATAAATATTTTTGATTGATATCCTTTAATTTACTACAATTTCAATCATATTGCATGCCTACAAAATGCATATTTTCAACTATAAACATGATTACTTAATAATTTTTGGTGTTACAGGTACACACAAAAACCCGAAAGAAAGACTTACAGGTGTTACGCAGAAACAGATTTTCTCATCTAATTAATTTCCAAGAAAATTTAACTGTACATCATACAAACTGTTCAATTATGTTAAAAGAGGAAAATAAGATTCTGATATAGTCATTTTTTATAGCTTTAACCCAACTCTTACATAAAACTAGAATTAAGAACTCATTTTCAAGTTTTTGCTTATGGTTACTATATTTATTTTGCAACTGGGCTAAAAGTTTATGAAAATAAGACATTCAAGCATTATTGTATAATTATTAATAATTAGCCTAAAATGACAACACAATTTTCATTCAATAGATAAAAGCATATAAAAATGTAGAGCACAGAATATTCTATAGTTTGGGTCTCAGGACGACTTTCAAATTATGTATTTTGTATACCAGGGATAGTCTTAAAAATGAAAAATAAGCATAACATGTACAACAGAATTCAAATTTTAGTCATGATGTCCATGATTCTGTGGAATTGACCATATGATATATGTTGTATAAAAACAATTTGTAAAAATATATTCAGATTAAAAAGTTGAATGGAAGAATTATTTTACAAACTCTAGGAGTCTACTCAATATTGTTTAGACTTCTCTTGATCTAGCTTTCTTTACAGTATATTAATGTATGTAATTGTTTTGTAATTATAAGTATTCAATATTCTATTGTCATTAAATAAATGAATTGAAATAATCAATGTTCCTACCATTGAAGAGGACTGGTTCCTGAATCTTTGGTCATGTGGCATTGAGTTAGTTCTGTCATAATTTCCTTCATTTGTCTCTTTTCCATTAAGTAATCTTTCATTAGCATGTGCCCTTCTGCAAGGTTCATATGAGGTAAAGTTCCTCTGTTCTAATCTTTCATTAGTCATTGGTTGGTGCAACAGGTTTTTTGTCATTGGTTGACTTGACATTTTGTCTGGTGAAATCTGTGAATTACTGGATGACATATTTTGTGACATGGGTCTGAAATCATTCCTAGAGGAACCAATGTCTAAAGCATCACTCTTCATTCGTTCTTGTTCACCCTTTGTGGAACTTCTTTGATATGCCACGACATCTCTACTACGCATCACATCCTCATAACTTGGTATATGTTGTCGTGATCTACTTAAATTTGACTGTGATGATGAATAGGGTTCAGTATGACTGTTCGACCAATAAGTTGTGCTACTGTTTTGGTTACGATTTGCTTGAGAACTTAGATGTTCAACATTACCATTGTGAGTATCTGGTTGATTCTGTGTAGAAGGCCCTTCAATTGGAGCACCGGTAAAGCCATCAATCCATACCTCATTGGTCCGTGTTATATGTTGCCAATCCCGACGTTGCATAAATTTTTTAGGTTTTTTCAGATGGTGATCATCTTTAGCTCTAATTTTAAGTTCAGTATCCAACATTTGTTGATGTAACTTGGGATTATATTCAGGGTCTGTACTGTAACCAGACCGCCTTAGCCCCCTTTGTGGTTTTAACTGCTCTGCAACAGGAAATGTCTTAGAAATAGGAATTTCTGAAAAACCTTGTGTTCTTACAGGTGTGTTACTGCTAACATGGACATTCACCTTTTTCTCGGGTGATTTGCTAATTAATTTATCACTTTGATTATCTGTTTGATCAGTCCCAGCATTGATTATTGCAACCTCCTCATCAGCCTCTGTTATTAATTCCTTTTTAATAATTTTCTTAAATTGTTGATGTTCCGAATGTGAAGGTGAGCTTTTCAGAAAACTGTCTGTATCACTTGAATATCCTCGACGACTCTTACTCTGAAATTGTAAAAATTAATTTGAATAATAAGACAACTTTAATAAAAACTTAACTAGAAATTGCAAATTGCAAGTGAAGTGCTGCGAAGTACAACTGCATATAAATGTTCTTCGAACAAAATTATTTATGCGAGTCAAGTGAAAATAATGAATAATAAAAATATAACAAGTAATATGAGCACGACCCATAAATATAACAAATAATATGAGACACAACCCATTGTCTATATTAGAACACTTCTCATTGGGTAACAAAGTCGTAATTTTTCATTTTTGTCAAAAAATGTCTATAGTGGTGAATTATGGCTTAGGTTTTTTTTAATAAAGTTTCAAAAATTTCTATGTATGTGGAAAATGTAGTTGATTACCAAAGGTTACAATTTTTATTTTAAAGACTGCATGGTCTAGGAAGTGTACATTTTTTTATGGGGCAAGTTTCCAAGGGCGGGTTTTCTAGGGGCGAGTTGACTGCCAAAGAGTGTTGCCAAAGTGGGAGCCAACGCTATAGACTATTTTCAAGAAATTTGAAATGAATATTTCCAATAACCTGGCAACAACCACTGGGGGACTTTCAGAGGCCCAGCATTTCGCGGTACATAGTTACTATCATGGATTAAATCAACGATAAAACTAAATTGCTAACGAGCACAAACATTTTAAAACAGAAAAAACACGAAATATTTATATTAAAAACAAGCAAGTCTTAAAAAGCTATTTCAATGATTACATATACTGTACAGTAATTTTAGTAGGCCTAATTAGCAAGATCGTGTCTGTTCTCTACTGCTGCTGTGGCAAGGGTCTAGCGGCGCTATCCGCTGCGCGCGGTGCTCTATTGCAACTAGCCAGCTGCTCAAGCTAGGCCGCTGGAAGTCTCAAAGAGTATAAAACTGCAAGAGGTCCGACTGCCCTTATTTTGTATACAGGCAATAGAACGTTAAAAAGTACTCCCACGAAGGGACGTGTCCTTCATAAGAACGTAAAAGGCGTTCGTATCGAACGCGTGCTGTGTTTCGAATTCCAGCATAGACGCGCACCACGTGTTCGATACGAACGCACTTTACGTTCTTTTAAAGACCTTTTGGTCAATAGGATTGTTAATGCCACACAAATTTTCCCTTTACAGTATACGAACTATCGGTCTGATAGCGTCGAAATACAGTCTGCCGCCCTCTATTTTAAAATTGTTTACAACTTTTAAGAAAGAAAGAAAGATGAGAAGGTTCCAAAAAAGCATTCTTTTTTACCATGATGATGTCATAAAAATGAAAAATAAAGGGACATTTCTGAAAGAGAATTGTCTCAGCTATAACATACTCACAGGTGGAAGACAATCGATCCAGAATAAGCAATATATGTTCAAATAAGTTGAAAAATAATGACGTCATGAATAAAATTTCAGTTTTTTTGAAATTAGGTAGCAATATGATGACGTCACAATGTCCGATCAGTCATAATGATCTATAAAATCATATCTACAATTCATGTGCTTTCTGAATATGTAATAAAAATTAGGGGTTACCTTTCATCCTAAGGAGCTATAACTGATTAAAAGTAGCCATAATTTTAAGTATACATAATTGTTGACGTACGCGCACATTGAGTCGCGCGAACGGAAAATTAAGGTACCTGACATTCAACCTTGACCTGAAGATTATGCTCACTTAATATGATTCAGAAATGACGAATGGTTAAGATGATATGGGTTCATCAACGTTTTGAGGAAAGAAAGATGTGGGGGGGGTCAGAAAAAACAATTTTTTTGACCATGACGACGTCATGAACATGTAAAAAGAAGTCAAATATATGAAAGAGAATTGTTTAAGTTATAACATACTCGATATTTGGAGAAAATCGATCAAGGATACGCAAAATACCGTCAAATGCGCATTTTAACAAATGACGTCATAGTTTAAAAATCAGTTTTTTGAATTCAGATCGCAATATAATGACGTCACAATGTCCGATCAGCCATTATGATCTATAAAATCATATCTACAACTTATGTACTTTCAGAATATATAGTAAAAATTGGGGGGCACCGATCATCCTGAGGAGCTATAACTGATTGAAAATATGCATGATTTTCGCCTATTTTAGCTCTATGTCGACAAAAACGCGCACAGGGATTCGTATCTTCTATGCGCGCGTACGGCATTGCCATTGACCCTAAGATGACCAAAACAGATGGAACTTTGTGAATACAGTGTCAGGAACCTAAAACATGTAAAAAAACCGATGATTCCAGCTTCTGTATGTGAGCGCGCGTAGAAATGCGCGCGCGGTGCCAAAAATTTGAAAAATGTTGAAATGCTCAGAATGGCCTAAAACCTGCTCTAATTTAGTCAAAAAGTGATTTTGAGCATTTTTTAAAATTTTGATGTACGTGTATGCACGCGGTATGATGTGCACTTATAAAATTAAGACAAGTGACATTCAACCTTGACCTGAAGTTTATGCTCACTGAATATGATTTCGAAATGGCAATTGGTTAGGATGATATGTTCGATTATGTAACACGTTATTAAAAACGCAAAATTACGCGTAGACGACGTCACGCATGACTGAGCACATTAACATGCTCACATTGACTAATCCAGACCAAACCAAATGTTCGTTGACAGCGATTGTGCGTAACTCATGGCATTTTTTGAGATATCATGCAAACAAGAAATGGGGAGAAAGAAAGAAGAATAAAAAGAAAAAAAAGATCCTGACAATAACAAGAGGTGATCCGCAAGAGTTGCGGATCACCAATTATTGTGATGTTAAATAGACAATTATTGTGATGTTAAATAGACAATAATAACCAAGATGGCCGTCCTCGGGGCTGTTTCGTCTTGGCGCTGCAATTAATGTTGTAAATCCAGGTATTTACCCTGTTATTTCTTATAGTAGGACAGAGATGTTAAACTTGAATACAAACAGAACACCACCACCTGCCCTAGAAACGTTAGTTCTAATGCAAGTCTGCGCATTCTACGTAGTAAAAATGCTGAGGGTGACAGAATTCCTAGCCAGCCAAACAAGGACGTGGTAGTAGGCTGTTCCGGGGTACTAGCGGACAATGAACGCTCACGTCGTACCTATCGACACGCTAGGAGAAGAAAACTGATGGATATGACCTGTCATGGATGTCGTAAACCTTATAAACGCAAACATTGGCTTTTAAAGCATAAGGATAATTGTGCTAAGTTTCTTGAGTTACGTACTAAGGCTCTTTTTTTGTGAGTTACCTTTTCACAATGATAGTGGCAGGCTATGGGGCGCAAATTCGGTAAGAAACACTTTTGCACAAACAAAAATTTTATTGTGGAATGTGAAGGGAATAAGGAACCGACTTGATTTCACGGAAACTATGGCCACAGACGACTATGTGGCTGATAACAGGCTGTGGTTTAATCAAACGGCCGTGGTACCGGAAAGGAGGAGACCATCTGGAGGTCTCTCTGTAGGCCTTATAAGTGAGGTAGCATGGAATGCAAAACTGGTATACAAAAATAAGAACAAGAACATAGTGTGTGTAGCAACATCTCTTCTCAGTTTTATAGTTTGTTATTTCCAACCTGGCTACGACGTAGATGATATTCTAAGTGAAGTGGTAGACGCAATATTGCTCTTTCCGACAGGAGCAGCACCTTTGATTATCGCAGGAGATTTTAACGCACGTATAGACTCCGGCACTAGAGGTCGGGATTTGTGTGCTGGATTGTGTGATATTGGATTTGTATGTGCAAATGACCCTACCATACAAACATATATTTCTGCTCAGGGAACGAGCGTAATTGATCTTGTTTTCATAAAGGATATGCTTGATCAAGATATACGAGTGCGAGTATTACCATCTCTGGAGGCGAAACACCAGTTGGTGGATATTAGTTATGAGTGCTCACCAAACAAAATGGGCGTGAGAAGCAACCCTATTCGCAAGGTTGATTACAATAAACTGGCAATAAGTGTGGACGTAGAGGAATTATATAGCATTCTAAACTGTGATCATGGTAATGAGGCAAACAATGTAGAGGACGCGTATTTGTACCTTTGTAATGCAATCAAGAACTCCTGCATCAAATCGCGCAAACGAAAATCTCGACCGTGGTTTGATAAAGAATGCTTTGAATTAAAGGTAAAAACGCAACGTTCATACGCTCGAATAAAGAAAAACAACAGTAAGAAACTGTTAGCTATTAATTCACAACTTGGAGCAGAATTCCAGCGCCTCAAGAGAAAGAAAAAACATAAATATCAGGAGGAGCAAATAATACGGATGATTGAAAAGGCTGAAGCCAGTATCAGCGATTTCTGGTCACTTTGGAGAACTAGAAAAACAAGGTCGGGTGGATCCCAGGTGTCCCCTGAAATGTGGTTTGATCACTTTAGTGCCTTATTGCATACTGACAATCTACCGATGTTGCCTTACTACGCAAATGTAGTGACAGATGATGATCCTATTTCATGGCCCATTGATGAGTCCGAAATTTTAATTGCATTTGGTAGGGGGAAAGCGGGTAAAGCGGCCGGGCCGGAGGGCATCACCTATGATGTTTTGAAAAACTGTAGTGAGATCTTAGTAACTCCAATAACTCAAATTTTAAACTTTTGTTTTCTAAACAGTTGTTGCCCATCTGATTGGCTACTTGTTGCCAATATATAAGGGCAAAGGATCGTTGTCACACCCAGACTCATATAGGGGTATTGCATTATCATCGTGTGTTCTAAAATGTTATACGTATATACTAAGTAAACGTATATTAAACTGGGCAGAAAACCAAGGGATACTGCCTGCACAACAGCATGGCTTCCGAAACGACCTATCCACTGAAACCGCTTAATATGCTAATAAATAACACCTTAACTATTCCCAAATGCCCACTCTATGTGGCGTTTGTGGATTTTAAAAAGGCATTTGACAGCGTGGACAGGGGTAGGTTGCTTCGGAAGCTTTGTGAACTAGGATTGCATCCCAAGATTATGAAAGCGTTGTTGTCTCTACTGAGAGA